TGTTTAAACCAGTGTTCACAAGTATCTTGAGATGGAGCATGTTCACCATAAACTTCCCGAAGTATATGATAACTTTCAGCTGCACTTTTCTTCAAAATAAATAAATTAAAACTTCCCGCAAATGCTCTTCTTGGCATGAAATTTGACATTTTTAAGCGTAAAAATATCTATGATATTAACACCTCCAGAAAATTTGACATATGAAGTTTTGAAGCTTGCTGTCAATACAACAAAATAGCATACATATAAAATCGCATATATACATCAACATATGTGTAACTCCATCTATTGAAAAAAATTCGCATTATTAACCGGTACAGCTAGTATTATATAGGATTCTCTAGTGGTAGGACTAGAGGAAGAGGGGGTTGGTAGTACTAATATTTCCTTGTCCCTTAACTCATCATTATACCTATTCTGTTTCTATAATCCCATTGGTTTTTTTCCCACTGTTCCACTAATCCCCAGAATCCTTTTCTTTAAAAGTACAAACCCTGGAATCAGACTGCCAAGGTTCAACTCTCCACATCCCATCTGGGTGACTATGATCTTTCCTCCTCTGTAAAACAGGGCTAATAACACTACTGCAGTTTTGTTATGTCTACCACATAGTAAAAGCTATTTAAGTGTCAACTCAGGACAGATGATAGAATTAATGACATTGATTAAATTCCTATGATCCCTTCTCCTTACTCAGAAATGACCTTGTTCTTAAAATTCCCTTATGAGAATCTGAACCGGAGTATAGTAGAGAGATACATTTTACCTCTTGTAAATATTATTTCATTTAAAATGAAAATTCAAACCATTATGTTTTATATTAGGCATTTCCTTGGGTAAAGACAAAAAAAGAATTGGGGATCTTATCATTTCTCTAGCAAATCACAGGTCCTGTCTGCCTATCTTACCACCCTAATGACCTTTTTCTATTTTTAGTAATACACTTCATCTAATAACCTCAAATCACTAGGTTTTCTAATAACCAAAGCATCCAACTTCACTTTGCAGTTTGTAACAAAGTTTCATGAGTCCTATTTCCTAAGTGGGAACTTGAGGTCTAAAGACAGTTTTAAAAATCATTTAGTGATCCATGGAGAATAAAATTAGAATGGGGCTCCTGACTGCTAGATAACTCATTTTAATTCTGATAATGATCAAATATCAACACCAATTCCTCTAGCATCTTTCCATTCATAAAATATTCTAAAGGATTTTAAATGCTCCAAACTTTAGAGCTTCTGTAATTTATAACCAGTGTGTATGTATGTGTGGGCGGGGTGGGGGGGAGAATAGGTGATGTACTGAATATTTACTCTGATATAATATTCCAAGTGCTTTTGGGGGATGGGTGTCATTTAATTTTACAATGACTTGAAGAAGTCAAATCAGTTAGCATTAATATAAAACTCAAAGATCAGGCTGGCACATAAGTGCTACGAAAATATTACTTCATTATTAAACATTTATTTCAGAGAGAGGAAGAGAAAGGGAAAGAGGGATAGAAACATCAATGAGAGAATCATTGGCTGCCTCCCCCATGTCACCTGCTAGAGATTGCCGGCAACTCCAGCACGAGCCCTGACTGGGAATTGAATTATGACCTCCTGGTTCATGGATCAATGCTCAGCCACTGAGCCACACCAGCTGGGCATAATTCATATTTTTATTGTACTGAGAAGAAAATAGCAAGGTTAAATGACATGTTCAAGATCGCACAGCTAGAAAGCTGAGATTTTCACTGATTGAAGTATATGGCCATGAACCCCATGTTTAGTTCAGAGTATATTATCTGACCCCTTAATTATGAGCCAAACAAGTCACATTAGTAGTATCTTACCTTTTGCCAGGTTAGTAGGTTGTTTTTGTGACAGGAATTTAAAGAGTAATGTGGACTTGTCATGTATTTTGCTGCCATTCTTTTTTTCTATTTCTTAAAAAATATGGTTATTGTTTCAATTGATTTGAGAGTGAGAGGGAAACATCGATCTGAGAATGCAACATAGATCAGCTGCCTCCTCATGCCCCCACACCGGGGATCAAGCCTGCAACCCGGGCATGTGCCCTGACCAGGAATCGAACCGTGCACTGACAATGGTCAAATGAGCCACACCAGTCAAGGCTGCCATTATTTTTGAAGCTCTAACAAATTTGCCTCCTAACATTTCTGTAATTTATAATTATGTAAAAAATGTATTTGTATCCTGGTTGCCATTGAATACTAGCATACTTATTGGTAGAAGACATGGAACTTAAAGATCACCTAATCTAGTTCCACCTCCCAATTTTACATATTAGGATTCCAAGACCCAGAAGCTCAAAAATGAATAATGTGCCTTTGCAGGCAATTCTCCAGTTGCAGCATATTGAAATCACAGGCTATATCACCCTGCTTCCAGGCAACAAGTCCACGCAATGACTGTTTTCCTCGGTAGTCTTAAGAGTTTAGGAGTTTTCAAGATGACGTACATCTTTATAAACAGGCGAAAGCTGCCAGAAAGAAAAGCACTTGTTTAAAGAGTTTAGTATTTCTACTACATCTGTCAGAACATAACTGAAAAGGAAGAAACAAATATTAAGGCAATCTTAGATCTTTCATTCATTTATGCACTCAAATTTGGAGCCCCTACTCTGATCCAAAACAGTTCTAAAACATTGAGACTTATTCTAAATTAACACATTAACAGAAATAACCAAGTTTGAGAAATTAATGGCTGTGTATAGAAGTGTAAGAAATGGTCCTAATCCTAAAGGGAAGCTTATAATCCAGTTGAGGAGGCAAGACCAATTGTGCCCTGGCTGAGCCAGTTGGTTGGAGTGGTATCCCTACATCAAAAAGGTTGCAGGTTTGATTCCCGGTCAAGGAGCATACCTAGGTTGTAGGTTTGGTCCCCAATCAGGGCACCTATGGGAAGCAAACAGATGTTTCACTCTCTCTCTAAAAATCAGTAAGACCTGGCCAATGTGGCTCAGTTGACTGTGTCATCCTGCACACTAAAAGGTCACCAGTTCAATTCCCAGTCAGGGCACATGCCAGGTTGAGGGCTCAATCCCTGGTGTGGGCATGCAGCTGATCGATGTTTTTACTCTTACATCGGTCTCCCTCTCTCTTCCTATCCCTTATTCTCTCTAAAAATCAAAAAAAAAAAAATTATTTTAAGAATTAAATATCAACAAAAACATATCCTCGGGTGAGGATTAAAACAGCTCGGCCAATGTGGCTCTTGAGCTTTGACCTATGAACCTGGAGGTCAGGAATTCCCAGTCAGGAAACATACCTGGGTTTCCAGGCTTCATTCCCACTAGGGGGCATGCAGGAGGCAGCAATCAATGATTGTCCCTCTGAAATTAGTAAAAGAATATTTTTAAAAATCATAAACATGTTTACACATCTAGTTTAGTGAATTGAGTGACAGAATTTCAGGGAAGATAATGATCAGCACAGCTCCAATCAATAGATTTTCATGGGTTTTAACTGGGATGGATATTGGATCTTATTAGAATCTAGAGGTCCAGTGCACGGAATTCATGTACTGGAGGGGAGTGGGGACCTCAGTCTGGCCTGCATTGTCCTCTCAGTCTGGGAGCCCTCAGGTGATGTCCTTAGTGCTGCTGCAGAGGCGGAAGAGGCTCCCACCACCACCACTGTGCTCAGGGCTTCTGGTTGAGCAGCACTCCCCCTGTGGGACCACACTGACCACCAGGGGGCAGCTCCTACATTGAGCATCTGCCCCCTGGTGGCCAGTGTGCATCATAGCAACCAGTAGTTCTGCTGTTTGGTCTATCTGCATATTAGCCTTTTATTATATAGGATGTAATTTGTCTCAACAGGTAAAGGTACTTCAGGTTAACAGTAAAAATTGCTATTGAGCACTTTATGTGCCAGTG